CTTCCATCATTTCCAAACAGCTGTCGCAGCAGCCCATGCCAAGACCTAACCACAATCAACCAGTCACTGGCCAACTCCGTGTTTGGATCTGGGCAGCCCTGTTAAACATCAGCGTTTGCCAGTATTGCTCTCTCACTCTCTATTTTCCTTTCTCAGTCTGTCACTCTTGTCCTTTCTGTTTCTCCCTCTGGCTAATAAAATTCTTCCTTGCAGTGCAGCCAACAAGCTTCAATATGCACCCACTAGCAGTACCAAAATATCAATTTAAGCACCCCCACCCCCCAGTGGCTCTGTTCTCCTTTAAAAAAAAAAAAAAAAAAGTCCTTTTGCACTATTTTTGCATACTTTTCAATATTTCCCACTCAAGCAAACCAAGCATTTCTTCATCTGATGAGGTGAGTTGTTGTGTTAGAAAGCATACTCTCCATAGACACTCGCTCCACAAAACGTTCTATCGGGAAGAAAGGTAATGCGGTGCAGAAAGGCAGAGGCAGAAGGAGAGAAAGAAAATATTAAGAAAAGAGAGATTAAGGCAGGCAGAGAAAACTCATTTGGAAGAAGTATGCCACAGCAACTTGCTCACTGGTGGATGGTGAGGGGAAGAAGATGATTAATGAAATGAAGGAGTCTGATCTATAATATTAATTTATTTCACATTTATCAGAGTGTCCCTTTTCTGCTTTAGCTCACAGGTGCTCATTACTGCAGGAACCTGGCTTTGAGTATAATGTAACGGTGAAAGTTTAAGGTAAAGGTATGGTTAGCGGATGTACAGTTCTCCATACAGATTATAAACTTTCTCAGGTTTTAACTCCAGCTTTTCTCTTCTGTCAGCAAATCACACAAGCAAATGCTAACATGTCAGCATGCACCCCGAAAGGAAGCGTTACAGTTCCACAAAAGCAAACGGTCTTAGCCATAAACAGAAATTATTTTCGCTCTCACACCCTTAATGTAATAATAACAGAAAAGGTGTAAGCAGTGTGTCATTATACTACTGTATAGCCTTAAGGCTGAATGAAGAGATGTGTGGCCCTGCACTAAACTGTAGTCAACTTACAGTACCATGTTCTATCCTTAGCCATTACCTGGGTGCCTGGACTAAAGCAAGAAAGACAGGCTCTGAATTAGATTGGCTCTATTTTAGACAATTGAGTAATCAATGTGCAGCTAATATCAAACAGGCTAAATCTGAATATTACTTCTCTGCCACCACTGACTGTGGTAATGACCACAGAACATTCTGGAAAGTGATTTAATCCTTATCTGCTCACTAAGACTTCAATGTGCTACCTCCAGTTCCAGTTGTTATAGACTGTTCCAATCTTTCTGACTCTTGACTCTGGCTATGTGACTCAGCACATCCAAACTGCACAGATAAACAATCAAAAATATAACTTAAAAAATCAAACATTAACCGTTATGTACAAGAAAACGTTCAAATATATCTAAATAAATAAATTAACATCCCTCTCCTAAGATTATACCTTCAAGATTATAGGCCACCTTTTAAAGCATATCTATAAAAGCATTTATTAATATGTTAAATTGGACGGCTGTTAAATGTACAAATAGAGAATATTCTAAAAATACAACATATCAATCCTAAAAGTATAACTTTTAGAATACATTCACTTTATCATGGCCATGTCTCTTACAAGTGCATCCATGCTAGTTTAATTTAGCTGAACAATTTAGAGCCTTATTTTTTAAATGTTGCTACTGTTCTCATTGTTTTTCCTCTCACACACATTTCCAATCTTACCCTGATTACAAATGAGACTCCTAAGGTGTGGAAATCAGTTTTATTACACCTTTGTTAAAAAGTGCCAGTGCTTCCTTCTTAAAAACATACATACAGACGTATTTCCAGTCTGCCTCTGTTGGCTATATTTCATGAAACTTGTGAGTACCCAGTGGAAGGAGTTTTTATGGTACATGCTAATGCTATTTTGTCTGCATATCAGCCTGGCTTGAGGAAGCAACATACATTAGTACTACTACTGCTGCAGAGAAGAATGTTGTGAATGATGTTATTGGAGCTGTGGGTGATTCCCTGCTATAGCGATAATGGGTTGTCTGAGCAAGCGGTAGGCTGGTTTACTAATTATCTGTCAGGTGGTGCTCAATGAGTGCAAGGCTACATTCACATTACAGGCCTTGATGCTCAGTTTAGATTTTTAGTCTGATCTGATCTTTTTGTATTGATGGTGCATATTCATGTTTGTGCAGTAAGTGACGTGTTCAGCTGCGGTGTGAGCCCTATCAACAGGCATAATCTTAGATCACAAGACACATATCTGCTGTCTGTCTTAAGCACCCAGCATCCGCTCTAGATCATCAGTTAATCAATCTTTTTCCAAGTCACTGGTGCAAAAAGGAATATTACACACTTCCAAACAACAAAAACATCCATCAAGCACATTGTCATGAATAAAATATGGATAACATATTAAAAGCATACACTTCACAAAAAAAAACAGCACATAGAAAACTTGTCTCTCATTCTTATGTGCAAATACAGCCCTGCACCAGCATCCCCACATCTTAGCTGTATAATGTGTGTATGCTTGAAGTGCTATTTACTTTTACACAGGTATATCACTCTCTATCTACACATAGATTTATATAGTGTATAAAGTTCCCTATCGCTGCCTTGGCATGTGGGTGTGTTTACATATACTGATGAGCACTGTGAATGTTGGCACACAAAAAAGTATCCTAGTCAGTTTATTGTAAGCATCTGTCACTCTACTGCACCTTTTATATGCAGCAGCACATTTAAGCTGTTACAAATCACGCTTTTACATCAGATGAAAACACTGAACTACTTAGCAGCTTATTTTTTAACAATTCCCTTTGGTAAATAAATTGTCATTTTTGTCCCAAGATATTTCATTTCACTGCTCATTTAAAAAAAAAATCAATTCAAGTAGAACTCAAGAAACACACCTTTTCTGTTTTATAGTATTATTATTATTGGAATTATTGGAAACTGATGTTAGCACCATTTTGCATAGATACTATGTATATACACATATATATGTTGAGAAACAGCACTACAGGGAGGAAATACAATCAAAATCAACTGCAAGGAAAGAAATCCAGTCTGGCATGGGCTCGGGTTGTTTTGTGATGTGCTATGTGAATAAAAAATGATCATTGTTATTAAATTGGCTTTTACTTGTTTATTAATGTGGACCTTTGATAATGTATTACTTATGACATCTTTGCACTCAAACTTATTTAAGTACTTTTTTATGTGTAGTATGAAAAAGTATTTTATTAAAAAGTCTGTTTGTTGGGGTGTCTCTATCCTGCTCCAGGGGAATATTACTCGCCACATATTCAATCATATGCTGTAGGTAGCAGTGAAAATAAGTTGTGGGGATTTTTTTTTTGTTTGTTTGAAGTAGGTCAGAAATTCTGTGCTGGTAATGCGCTGGGACTCACAAGGTCTCAACAGGGGACATTTTCTTTCCCTTGCCGGTTCAGAATGGAGGAGTAATTGAGCACTAGATGACTCTACTCCTGGAGACGATGGCAGCCATGGAAATGTTCCCTCACAGACCAATAAAGATGTCCTTTTCTTCTTGCTGTAATTGGACCGGGGACAGTGGGGTTGGGTTTTGGCCCAAGGAGAGCACCTGTAGAAATGCTTTGTTCAGTGCACCACTATTAAACTGATGAGACAGGGGACGCACTAAGAGAAAAAAGTGTGATAAATAGAGTGATGCTGATGAGAACAAGGAGGGAAAGCACTGGAGCCACTGCCTTTCACTTTTCATACTGGAAAGGTAGCAGATACGCAGCCACTCGTGGCTTCCTCAGAATGACAGCTGTCAGTGCTCCTCAACACAATTTAACTGATATCAGCAATGAACCTTGGAGTCAGTTAGAAACCGCAAGTGATGTATCTGACTGCTTCATAATACTGATTGGTATTCTGTAGTGACAAGGCCGCTTTAGTGCTATCATAATGAATCAAATTTCAAACCTTAACAGTGAAATAGGACAGTTGCATGCTGCAAACCCCAAAGGTTTCAGTGAGTGTTTCTTGGAGAAAAAACAGTAGCTAACTGCTGCCTTGTCTTCACCAGCTAGTTGAAAACTTTGTCTCATAGTATGCAATGGGTTTATCATAGCTTTTCCATTGAAAACAATTCAATTCAGTTTTACTTGTATAGCATCAATTCACAACAAAATTCATCTCAGGGCCCTTGACATAGTAAGGTACAGTATTCTACAGTAAAACCCAACAAATCCCCCTTGACCGAGCACTTGGTGACAGTGGAGAGGAAAAACTCCCATTAATGGAAGAAACCTCAGACAGACCCTGGCTCTTGGTGGGCGGCCTTCTGATAGAGGAGAGAAAAAGAAAAGAAAACCAATAAGACACAACAAACACAACAACAAACAATCAAACACTGGTCAGGTTGATGTGACCGGTGACTGCTCATCAGAAACGTAGAGCTCCAGAGCCAGGGCAACCTGCAGAAAGGTACAGGGAGAGAGAAAGAGAGAGGACACACTATGGGAGAGAGGAGACACAAAGTTAGTGACATGTAATTGTCCCTATTCCGATATCCAATAATACTTTGCACCCAGACAGGTTCCGGTGTGGAAAGTATAGTGGACATCTATGAAAAACTAGCAGCACCACATCTTGTCAGATGTAAAATTAAATATAGGGTACATTTCTGTTCTGCTCCAGGATGTACAAATTAATCTGGGAAAGATAAGGCTCGGAATATTAAAAGGTTGTATTAGACTTTCCTGTTAAATGACCCAAAACGCCTCAAACTTTGGTGGAAGATTGCCTTCCCAGCAGCCTGGCAACTATCAAATGATCTATCCGAATTTGTTCTGACCATTTTAAAGTAAATAAAGTATTTTTCTGATAATAATGCATATGTAGAGAAATATGCAACATTTTAAATGTTGAGATGAGCTATGATTGGTGACATATATACGAATTGTCCGAATGTACAGCCTGAAAATCGAGGCTCTATGTTATATACACTATGGCATGTAGTCAATCTTATTCGAGTTTCAAGTTCCAATGGCATGTTCATTTTGCTCATTTCCAGCAATTTAATATTTAATCCTGGGTACTCAAGATTAGCTTGGCACCCCTCATAACTACAAATACTAATTATTTCAGAACGATAAAACCCGAGAGCCTCTTCCTAAAAATTACAACAATTCTCTCTAACATTACAGAAACAAGGCATTAATAGACATTATTGGAAACATCACTCCCTTTCAAGTAGCTCTAAGGTCGGTAAATCCAACCGACGGTAACTGTGTCTTCCCCCACACGACCACATACAGTCCTATAGCAGTGAAATTAATTCCAACGGGTAGTGTAGCACCGACAATAATATCACGGGTCATTAATCTGCTTGTTAACCAGCAACACATCACATGCTGCAGACACACTGGCCTCAAGCAGTCAAAACAAACAGGTACTGTGCTTCAGGGGAATCCAGCATTGATGAGCTGATCAGTCACCAATGCTGGGGTCTTCACAGGTGGCTGCTTGTAGGTTAGACCTGATTAGGTAAAACAGCGAGTCCCTGTACTGGAACATTCCTGGACATACAGTAACCCCAGGCCCTGTATGTTTCCCCACATCTTCTGGTCACAGTGCAACAGCAGGAAGGAAAATATATCCACAAAACCAGGCGTAGTCAAAAAATTCTGCCTTTACAATGGCACCAGTGGATGTCAGGCAAGCTCACATGAACTGCCCAGAGATTATGACCATTCAAGGAAATCCTTTATTTTGTTAGAAAAAAAGTCTTGCGAGCAAGAGTTTGCGAGATGTGTATAAACTAAGTTAGATAGTTGCATAGAAATACTAGAACACACATACACCTCAGTTTTTGCGCTTTAAGTCACGTGAAAGGCAAAACAATGAGCAGAAAGATCTTAAATGCTTTGTAGCTCATAGGGTTATTGTAGAATTAAGTAACTCTGAAGGTTCCTCAGCACAAACAACTCCCTTCACATTACACATTCATTTTGTTGTTAATATGAAAACTTTAAAGCGACAAATATATCAAGTGATGTACAAAAAACGAGTTTCAGAGCCACTGAAATGTTTTCTCATCTATGCTTTTCTGTATTTGTTTGGATGTAGTGTTGCAGAAGAACGGGTTTGATTTTATACTGACCTGTCCAAACCTTCATGATCCTGTTCATCAAAACTCAGTGTTCAAATCATCTTAAAAACACGCAGATCACAGACAGGAGACAGATTCAATTCCCCACACACAGAGGGCTGGTGAAAGTGCAGAAGACTGAGATAAAAGTACTTAAGTGAGGGAAACAATAGACATTGGCAGCAGAGAGTGGAAGAGGGAA